TGTCATTTCTTTACCTTTCCCCTCTTATTTGCTCTAGAACAATTTTAAATACATAGTTCATGAAAATAAGTTTGGTCACAGCATGCAATTTCATTTTATCACATCAGCATTTCCTCCAGAAATAGGATCATCAGAATGGATTTGTAGAATGACTTCATCTAGACAACTTGATGTATTGCTTCCACATCATGTCACTACCAATAAGATAATAAAAAATAGTGTCGCGCTCCCGTGATAAGTATTTAAATATTACCCCTGTATAGCTAAATCTTTAAATGTGATATAAAACTATAATATCCTTGTGTACGTGATAAATCAAAAATAAAAATTTTATCAGATGCTGATTAAATACTAATTAAAATCTATCAACAATCATCAAAGTGAAAAATCAATATAATGAAAAATGAACATAAAAATGTGTCCATAAATATATACATACAGTTGCAAGAAAAAGTATGTGAACCCCTTGGGATTACGTGGAGTTTTGCATGAACTGGGCAAAAAAAGGGGTTTGAACGTCATCTAAGTCACAACAATAGAAGAGCACAGTCTGCTGAACATAATACTATACAAACATTAGATGTTGCCATGATTTAATTGCACATAACATGTAAACATTCACAGTGCAGGGAGGAAAAAGTATGTGAGGCCCTAGCTTAATGACTTCTCCCAGAGCTAATTGGAGCCGGGAGTGAGCCAACCTTGACTCCAATCTGTGTGATGATATTGGATGTGTTGCTGACAGCTGTCCTGCCCTTAAAAAACACACACCTGTTTTGGGTTTACTGGTTTCAAGAAGTACTGTCTGATGTGAACCATGCCTCGCAGAAAAGAGCTCTCAGAAGACCTACGATCAAGAATTGTTGACTTGCATGAAGCTGGAAAGGGTTACAAAAGTATCTCCAAAAGCCTTGATGTTCATGTGTCCATGGTAAGACAGACTGTCTACAAATGGAGAAAGTTTAGCGCTGTTGCTACTCTCCCTAGGCGTGGTCGTCCTGTAAAAATGACTGCAAGAGCACAGCGCAGAATGCTGCATGAGGTAAAGAAGAATCCCAGAGTGTCAGCTAAAGACCTACAGAAATCTCTGGCACATGCTAACATTTTTGTTGACACATCTACAATAAGGAAAACATTAAACAAGAATGGAGTACATGGGAGGACACCACAGAGGAAGCCATTGCTGTCCAAAAAGAATATTGCAGCACGTTTGAAGTTTGCAAAAGAGCACCTGGATGTCCCACAGCACTACTGGCAAAATATACTGTGGACAGATGAAACCAAGATTGCGTTGTTTGGGAAGAACACACAACACTATGTGTGGAGAAAAAAAGGCACAGCACACCAACATCAAAACCTCATCCCCACTGTAAAACATGGCGGAGGGAGCATCATGGTTTGGGGCTGCTTTGCTGCCTCAGGGCCTGGACGGATTGTTGTCATTGATGGGAAAATGAATTCCAGAGTTTATCGAGACATTTTGCAGGAAAACGTATGACCATCTGTCCGCCAACTGAAGCTCCGCAGAGGATAGGTGATGCAACAGGACAATGACCCAAAGCATACAAGTAATTCAACAAAACAATGGCTGCAACAGCACAGAATACGCCTTCTGGAGTGGCCCAGTCAGAGTCCTGACCTCAACCCGATTGAAATGCTGTGGAATGACATTAAGAGAGCGATTCACACCAGACATCTCAAGAATACTGCTACACTGAAACAGTTTTGTGAAGAGGAGTGGTCCAAAATGACTCCAGATCGTTGTGCAGGTCTGATCTGCAACTACAGGAAACGTTTGGTTGAGGTTATTGCTGCCAAAGGAGGGTCAACCAGTTATTAAGTCCAAAGGTTCACATACGATTTCCTCCCTGCACTGTGAATGTTTACATTTTGTGTGCAATTAAACCATGGCAACATCTAATGTTTGTGTAGTATTATGTTCAGCAGACTGTGTTCTTCTATTGTTGTGACTTAGATGACGTTCAGAGCACATTTTATGCCCAATTCATGCAAAACTCCACGTAATCCCAAGGGGTTCACATACTTTTTCTTGCAACTGTATATAGAAAGAGAGTCCTCTTTACATATAGGTTTAAAAAGGGGCCTGCTGCAATCAATGAATCAGTTTTGATTTTCCTATGCGCTCACCTTCTTTTTAGCCTAATTAATATTTAGGCTAAAATAGCTTTTTGTCCTATATGGACAGATGAAATGCTCTTGTGCCAAAAATCCTTTTCAGTTGATATAGGGCTCATTCACACTTGACTGTTTTACCAACGCTTGCCAAGCGCCCCTATAGCGTTTGGCAAGCGTTGGTCCAGCGTTTGCTGAACCTTTTTTTAACGCTCGGCAAACGCTCTGCAAACACCGCATGCGCGGTGAGCTCCCCCGAGAGCCCACGCACTGTCCACTTAGCTCCCCCGAGAGCCCCGCACTGTCCACTTAGCTCCCCCGAGAGTCCTGCACTGTCCACACAGCTCCTCCGAGAGCCCCGCATTGTCCACACAGCTCCCCTGAGAGCCCCGCATTGTCCACACAGCTCCCCTAAGAGCCCCGCACTATCCACACAGCTCCCCTGAGAGCCTTGCACTGTCCACACAGCTCCCCCGAGAGCCTTGCACTGTACACAGAGCTCGCTTGAGAGCCCCTCATTGTACACAGAGCTCTCCCGAGAACCCCGCCTTGTACACAGAACTCCCCCAAAAGCCCCGCACTGTACATAGAGCTCCCCAGAGAGACCCACACTGTACGTAGAGCTCCCCAGAGAGACCCACACTGTACACAGAGCTCCCCCAAAAGACCCACACTGTACACAGAGCTCTTCTGAGAGCCCTGCACTATACAATGAGCTCCCCTGAGATCTCCACACTATTCAGAGCTCCCCTGATTTCCCCTCACTATACACAGAACTCTCCTGATATCCCTGCACTATACACAGAGCTCCCCTGATATCCCTGCACTATACACAGAGCTCCCTGATATCCCTGCACTATACACAGAGCTCCCCTGATATCCCTGCACTATACACAGAAATCTCCGCTGATATCCCTGCACTATACACAGAAATCTTCTGATATCCCTGCACTATACACAGAACTCCCCTGATATCCCTGCACTATACACAGAGCTCCCCTGATATCCCTGCACTATACACAGAGCTCCCCTGATATCCCTGCACTATACACAGAGCTCCCCTGATATCCCTGCACTATACACAGAGCTCCCCTGATATCCCTGCACTATACACAGAGCTCCCTGATATCCCTGCACTATACACAGAGCTCCCCTGATATCCCTGCACTATACACAGAGCTCCCCTGATATCCCTGCACTATACACAGAGCTCTCCTGATATCCCTGCACTATACACAGAGCTCTCCTGATATCCCTGCACTATACACAGAGCTCTCCTGATATCCCTGCACTATACACAGAGCTCTCCTGATATCCCTGCACTATACACAGAGCTCCCCTGATATCCCTGCACTATACACAGAGCTCCCCTGATATCCCTGCACTATACACAGAGCTCCCCTGATATCCCTGCACTATACACAGAGCTCCCCTGATATCCCTGCACTATACACAGAGCTCCCCTGATATCCCTGCACTATACACAGGGCCCTGCACTGTACACACAGCAGATTCATTAACACTGACAGCCAGCAGAACAGCCACAGCGGCTCTCCTGCTCTTCACACAGTGCACAGGACTTGGGAGGGTCACACAAGCTGTTCTAACAGCTTTCAGTGTTACTGGAAGAATCCGCTCAGTGTTCTCTGCTGTGCTGCTGGGGAGGAGGAGCAAGTGTCCCGCCAGCAGTGTGCCGGTGCCTGATATGGAAGCCCCAGGACCATCAGATACAGGAGGAAATGGAGGGACTGGATGGTGGGGTCACAACGGAACTCCTGAATGAGACTGTGAGGTGGGGCTTGTTCACATGATATGCGCTGACCTGCATTTTTTTTCTGCACTGGATAAGTGCAGGTCATCACTAGGGCATACTGTTCACCATATGCCCTATTCACACTGCAATGGTGGTGTGATATGCAGTGTATTGCAGTGCAGAAAAATGCAGGACATCTTCATTTTTCAGCAACGCATGGGAAGCACTGCGTGTCACTGCATTCTGGATGAAGCAGTAAAGCAGACACCTGTGGACAGCAGCATTGTCAGTCTGGGGGGACAATAGAGTTAGACTAGCAGATTTCGATAGACTTGACAAAGGCGTCATTCACATCAAACAGAGAGGTACCAGCTAACCTGCAAACAAACCAATCTGAGCATGTCTAACAGTTCATGTTCAAGACAGAGGGTTTCATTGCACACATTTGCAAATATCAAGTGGAGGATGCAGTGCCCACGTCAAGGCGTCTCTGTATACTGTGGTCCTAACTCTATAGGTTTGATAGTATCCAAGCATATATAGCAGTGGATAGATTAAGGGCAGATTCGCCTGGAGGAAGCCCACTCCTCCTTAACCGCTTTCCTACAGGGCACTTATACCCCCTTCCTGTCCAGGCCAATTTCCAGCTCTCAGCGCTGTCACACTTTGAATGACAATTGCGCGGTCATGCAACACTGTACCCATATGAAATTTTTATAATTTTTTTGTGACAGAGCTTTGTTTTGGTGGTATTTAATCACCTCTGGGTTTTTTATTTTTTCTTAAACAAACCAAAAACCACTGAAAATTTTTTGAAAAAAAATGTTTTTCTTAGTTTTTGTTATAAAATTTTGTAAATAAGTGATTTTCTCTCCTTCACTGTTGTGCGCTAATGAGGCTGTAGTGATGGGCACTGATAAGATGCACTGATGGACACTGATAGGTGGCACTGATGGGCACTGATCAGGAGGCACTGGTAGGTGGCTTTGATGGGCATTGACAGGCATCACTGATGGGCACTGAAAGGCAGCACTGATATATGGCACTGATAGGCAGCACTGACTGGCACTGATAGGCGGCACTGACTGGCACTGATTGGCAGCCATGATGCGCACTGATAGGCGGCACTGACTGGCACTGATAGGTGGCACTGATTGGCAGCACTGATAGGTGGCACTGATTGGCATTGATAGGTGGCACTGACTGGCACTGATGGGTGACACTGAAGGGCAGCAGATGGGCACTGAGATGGGCACTGATATGTGGCACTGTTCAGCACTGACAGCTGGCACTGATGGACACTGGCAGGTGGCACTTCTGGGGCCACACTGATCATTAGGGCACACTGATCAACAGTGTCCTGATGATCAGTGTACATGTCCCCTCTGCGGAAAGCTGATTACTGGCTCTCCTCTCCTCTCGAGCTGTCAGTGTGACAGCTCGAGAGGAGAGAAAAGCCGATAACCGGCATTTCCGTGTTTACATGTGATCAGCTGTGATTGGACACAGCTGATCACATGACCGAGCCGACATCTTTGGCTCTTTCCGTGGATCGGTGATCCGCTGTGTCCGAGGGACACAGAGCACCGCCGATCGCCGCACTGCGCGCTCCCTGAGCCACGCATGCGCGGTGAGAATGGAAGGATGTCAAAAGACGGTCTATCAGAACGAGAGAACCACCTTGCGCCCGTCATTGGACTATATGGCGGGCGGGAGGTGGTTAAAGGCACAGGGACACATTGGACGCCCAGCAAAGACACAATGGCAGCTGAAGGCATCAAAGGTGCCCTACTCTAAATTGGTGAACAAGCTATATGAGAAGATGGCAACTACCCCAATTTATAACTAGCCCTTGCAGTAAGAGGCACATGGAAGGGCAGCACACACATCACAAATATTTCCCATCACATTAACCAGCTAGCCTGCAAACAAACCAAATTGAACCTGTCTAACAATACACGGTAAAACAGGCTTTCGTAGCACACATTTGTAAATATGTGCCCACATTAAGGTTCCGCTATACAATATGGTCCTAACTATAGTTTTGAGTGTCTCCAGGTTGCACACATAGCAGTGGATAAATTAACCAGTTCCCAGCCGCACTATAGCCAAAAGACAGCTACAGCATGGTCAGCTAGTTCTGGGAGGGCATCCATGGACATCTTCCCAGAGCCACACCCCCTGGGGCGCGCATTGCGAGCGATCTGTGACTAAGGAACAGGCCAATCACAGCCGCTTTTACCATGTGTCCAGCTGTGTCCAATCACAGATGATCACAGGGTAAATAGGAAATGCTGGTTATCGGCAGTCATCTCCTCACGCTGACAGTGCGTGTGGAGAGGAGAGTTGGTAAGCAGCATTTCGCAGGGGACATCTATACTGATCATCAGTGTCCTGGTGATCAGTGTAGCCCCATCAATGCAGCCAATAGTACCCATCAGTGCCCATGTGTGCTGGCAATCAGTGGCCAACAGTTGAATCAGTGCCACCAATCAGTGCTGCCCATCGATGCCACCTAACAGTCCCACCTATCAGTGCCCATCAGTGCTGCCTATCAGTGTAGCCTCATCAGTGCCCATCAGTGCAGCCTATCAGTGCTCATCAGTGAAGGAGAAAAATTATTTATTTCCAATCGTCACTAAAACTTTTTTTAAAATATTTGGTCTTTTCTTGTTTAGCAAAAAATAAAAACCCCAGTGGTGATTAAATACCACCAAAAGAAAGCTCTATTTGTTTAAAAAAAATGATACAAATTTAGTTTGGGTACAGTGTTGCCTGACCGCACAATTGTCATTCAAAGTATGAAAGCGCTGAAAGCTGAAAATTGGTCTGACGCCTGTAAACGCATGTAATGTGTTTAGGTGCATCAAGCATTAATTCAGTTTATTGGTCAAAATAATAATCATTTATTCTGGCCATTGAAATGAATTAATGCTCAAGCGCTAGACACTGCTAGCATTATTAGGTGGTTACACGCGTTTACAGACACTAGAAGGTTTTTTTTTTTTTTTGCACAAATGTCACTGCTTCTGGACTCTCACAGTGAGTTTTTTTTTTTTTTTCTGCCTCTGTACGCTCCTGCCTCTAAACTCCTCTACATGCCTATGTGTGCACGCTAACATGCTGGTGTGTTTAGAGGCAGAAACAGAAAAACGCCAGATATCCCTAGGAGGAGTGTTAAAAACGTCCAGTGTGCATGAGGCCTAACACATTGAAGCTGAACTCCAGCTAACACTTTATAAGCCGTTACAGCAAAACAATTTTTTTTCCTTTTGGGATAAAAGATTTACATAAATGAATAAAAACTGACTATTGTAAGCACCCCTTTCAGTGTTAAATGGTTTGTCTCAACCCTTTATCTGCTATTTTGCTGAACACCTTGGTCTGCTAAAGAAAGTTGGCCTGGCAATACGGGGGCCTGGCGATCGGCATGTCACCCAGACACAGCAGATCATATTACTGCGATATGGTGTTTTACCACGTGATTGCTCTGACCAAGCACAGCAATCACATAGTATACATTGAACGTGAAAGTAAAGATTGGTTCTCTCTGCTCTCACTGTAAGAGCAGAGAGAACCAATTCAGCAGCTTGTGAGTGTAAAGTAGCCTGTCAGACTGCATGTACACTAACAGGCTGCTGTGCCAGTCAACCAAGTGTCCCTGATTACTGCCCCAGTGTCCCTGGCCACTGCTCATTGTAGTCAATAATAAACATGCAGCCAGCCCCTGTCACCTGTCCCAGTGCTCACAACATGGCCATACACCATACCACTGTCCTCATCACCATCATACCAGTGTCCTGATCATTGCCATATGGCATACCAGCATCCTGGTCATCACCATACCCCATACTAGCATCCTGATCACCACATACGCCATACCATCCTATCCTGATCATCCTGCCATGCGCCATACCAGTATCCTGATCACTGCCATGCCCCATACCAGTATCCTGATCACTGCCATGCCCCATACCAGTATCCTGATCACTGCCATGCCCCATACCAGTATCCTGATCACTGCCATGCCCCATACCAGTATCCTGATCACTGCCATGCCCCATACCAGTATCCTGATCACTGCCATGCCCCATACCAGTATCCTGATCACTGCCATGCCCCATACCAGTATCCTGATCACTGCCATGCCCCATACCAGTATCCTGATCACTGCCATGCCCCATACCAGTATCCTGATCACTGCCATGCCCCATACCAGCTTCCTGATCACCGCCATACCCCATATCAGTTTCTTGATCACCACCATACTCCATACCTGCATGCTGATCACCATAATACCCAATACCAGTGTCCTGATCACCTCTGTATCCCATACCAGCATCCTGATCATTCCAAACCAGTATCCTGATCATCGCCATACCTCATGCGTACGTCCTAATCACAGCCATACACCATACCAGTGTCCTGATCACTGCCATACGTCATACCACCATTTTAGCGTCCCAACTGATCAATTTTCAAATATACAGTCATGGCCAAAAATATTGGCACCTCTGAATTTCTATAGAAACAAACTCTCTGCGCTCTAAGACCCGAGGAGGTGGATAGATGGAACCAGAACTTGAAAAAATTCGACCACCTTCGCATATGGAGTTGTGCAGCTCCAAACAAGGCTGGGGAAGCCCGACCAATACTGTGAAGCAAAGACAAAAAAGAAGCGCACCAACCTTGCACATTACCTCAGTATACCAATTTTTATTAAATTCAAAAAATCTATACTCACAAACGAAGTATTTTAAGCATGTCAGTTCTCAAAGGAACAATGAAATGGAAAGACCTGCGCGAGTCCCATCATAGGGGTGGACACTCAGGATTCAGCTGACACGTTTCGAAGGATGTTCCTTCTTCATCAGAGCTTGATGAAGAAGGAACATCCTTAGAAACGCGTCAGCTGATTCCTGAGAGTCCACCGCTATGATGGGACTTGCACAGGTCTTTCCATTTCATAGTTCCTTTGAGAACTGACATGCTTGAAATACTTCTTTGTTTGTGAGTATATATTTTTTGTATTTAATAAAATTGGTATACTGACGTAATGCGCAAGGTTGGTGCGCTTTTTTTTTGTCTTTGCTTCACCCCTGAATTTCTGTCAGATAATGCACCAATTCACCCAGAAAATTGTTGCAATTACAAAAATTTTGGCATTTTCATGTTTATTTCTTTTGTTTTTATTGGTATGACACAAAACGTGGAGAAACAAAAAGCCAAATCTGGCACATTCCACAGAAAACCCCCAAAATGAACTGGACAAAATTATTGGCACCTTCTCAAAATTTTAAGCAATAATTGCATTCCACGTTTGTGATGCTCCTGTGATTTGTAATAAATCTCACTTGTATCAATTGACAGCCTCTGACAATACAGAAACCAGACCTGCAACCAGATAAAATGGTGAAAAATTGACAACCTTTCTATTGTGTCTCTCTGTGTGCCACATGGAGCATGGAGAAGAGAAAGAGCAGCAAAGAATTGTGTGAGGATTTGAGAACAAAAATTGTGGAATAGCATGGAAAATCTCAAGGTTACAAGTCCATCTCCAGAGATCCTAATGTTCCCGTGTCCACTGTGCGCAACATTGTCAAGATGTTTACAGCCCATGGCTCTGTAGCTAATCTCCCGGAATGTGGATAAAAGAGAAAATTGATCAAGGATTGCAACAATGGATTGTTTGAATAGTGGCTAAAGAACCTCAATCAACTTCCAGACAAATTCAAGCTGACCTTCAGGCACAGGGTACAACTGTATCAGCTCGCACTATATGTCGCCATCTGAATGAAAAGGGAATCTATGTTAGGAGACCCAGCAGAACCCCACTGCTGACTCAGAAACATAAAAAAGCCAGATTGGAGTTTGCCAAAACTTGCGTGAGGAAGCCGAAATCCTTGTTGGGAGAATGTGCTGTGGACAGGCGAAAACAAACCTACAGCTTTTTGGTAAAGCCCATCATTCTACTACTGTTTTCAGCAATGAGGTCTTTAAAGAAAAGAATACAGTCCTTACAGTCAAACATGGCAGAGGTTCATTGATGTGTTGTGATTGCTTTGCTGCTTCAGGCACTGGATGTCTTGACCGTGCGAGTGCCATTATGAAATCTGAAAACTACCAAAGAATTCTGGGGTGCAATGTAGGGCGCCCAGTGTCAAAGTTGGGTCTCCGTTAGAGGTCATAGATCTTACAGCAGGACAATAACCCAAAGCCCACAACAAAGCACCCAGAAATGGTTTAAGACAAAGTGCTGGAGAGTACTGAACTAGCCAGCAATGAGTCCAGATCTCATTCCCATAGAGCTCCTGTGGAGAGATCTCAAAACAGCAGTTGGACCTGGAGCAGTTGGCGCAAGAAGAGTGGTTCAAAATTCCATTAGAGAGGTGGAAGATACTCATTGATGGTTACAGGAAGCCATTGATTTCAGTTATTTTCTCCAAGGAGTGTGCTACCAAATATTAAATTGAGTGTGCCAGTAATTATGTCCATTCCATTTTTGGGGTTTTGC